TGTCCCCTTAGGACAGGGCTGAGCATCCCTTCCACCGTGGGACCAGGGGCTGAGGGTGGGACAACCTCAAATCCCCTCCTGGGTTTGGGTTTTCCTTTTCCTCCCTTGCTGGCCACGGTGTGTTTCTGGGGCTGCGTGCTGTCGGGATGCCCGGGGGTCACAAACGCCGCTGCCAGGGCTGGTGTTCAGGATGGCATTGCTGGCAGAGGCGGGGGGATCTGCTGCATCACCCACCCCCCACGTGTGCAGGGGAGCCGGGGGAAGGTGAACCCACACCCCAGCTGTGCCGTCATCCCCACTGCGTGCCCTGCCTGGACATCCTGCAGCACAAGGGTCCTTTTCTCCTGCCGGGCTCCTCCGGCCAGCCTGCCCTGCATTCCCCAGCCCGGGGGCATAGCTGGGATTCCTGCATTTCCTCCCCCAAAATGCCCCGGGCTGGCTGGGAGCTGCACTGAGCATCAGCAGCTGGCTCCAGGGACAGAACAGGGGCCCCCCAAGAACTCCCCAAGCTCATAAAAGGCTCCGTTTCAGTCCCAAGGTGCAAGCACATCCCTGGTAGATGTGATTTTTGGAGCAGTAGGTGGGTGCTGGGGCAGCTCAGGGAGGCCTGGGGCAGGGAGGGAGGCCCTGGCATTCCCAGCGGTGCCCACTCACCTTTATTGTCACCAAGCCCCAGCTCCTGGGGTCACACCAGCCCCGGAGGAGCTCGGCTTGTGCTGGAGCCCTCGCTGTCGTGGGCAGTCCGGGAAGAAGCTTGCAAGGGAGCACAGGGCGAAGAAGCCCCGAAGGTGGGCATGTGAATAAAACCCATCATGCTTTTTTTTTTTTTTGTCAGAAAAAGGTTTTGGGGAGAGGACTGGTGGAGTTGTGCTGTGGTTTGCAGGGGGAGCCGCTCCCTTTCCTCGGAGCCTGGGCTGAGCCCCGCACATTGCATGTGTCCAGGCATCCCAGCTCCCGCTAACGGGCGAAGAGTGCTCCCAGGGACCTGCTCTGGCCCCAGCTTTTGGAGGTGACAAGTCTGTTCCCTGTAGCGGGCTGGAGGGATAAGCCCAGGAGCAGGCACTGAAGGGTTAACGGGGAGTGTTTGCAGCCGGTCCCTTGTCACCAAGGAGAAGGGAACAGCACTTGGGAAGGAAACAAAACACCCACTGCCCAGGAGGGTGATTTCCTCTCCCCACGCTGCGGTGTTACAGCCCTGGACCCCAGAAGGGCGTCCAGCACCGGGAGGACAGAGTCACCGGTGTCACCGTCCCGGGTGACAGAGAGCAAGTGGCACCGGGTGAGTGTGGCCGCTGGGGAGGTGGGTTGGGGACACAGCCCAGGGCGGCTCCCCATGTCCCCATCACCAGTGTCCCCATCGCCCCTTTCCCTCGGTCTCGTCCCAGTCGTATGGCACAATGTGGGGGACGCGGGGCATGGCGGCGCGGAGCATCCGTCACTATGGCTCCAGCGAGCAGTACCTCTACGCCATGAAGGAGGACCTGGCGGAGTGGCTGAGGGACCTGTACGACCTCGACATCCAGGTGGGCACCTTCATGGAGGTGCTGGAGACGGGGGCCGTGCTTTGCTCCCACGCCAACAACGTCACCCATGTGGCCGGGGAGTTTGCCCGCGCCTACCCTGGGGTGGCCTGCCACCTCCGCCTGCCCACCACCGGCGTCACCTGCAACCTCACGGCACAGCCAGGCACCTTCCAGGCCAGGGACAACGTCTCCAACTTCATCCAGTGGTGCAGGAAGGAGATGGACATCCAAGGTAGGATGCTGGCCTCCAGGCGCCCCGTGTCCCTGGGTGCAACTCCCTCCAGCTGCTCCCGGCATCGCCCCGGGTCCTTTCCTGTGTGTCCCCCAAAGCCACCCTGGCCTCGGGCAGCACCACCAACACAAGAAATTCCTGAGCTGGGATTTCTTGCACAAGCTCCTGTGGGCTGGGCAGTGGCTTTGCAGGGTGCTGGCATGTGGTGGGCATGTTTGCGTGGGCGCAGATGTGCTCTGGAGGGGTGGAAATGCACGGCATGGTCCTGGCTGTCAGGACATCAGGAGTGTCCTGGCTCTGAGCAAAGGGGCTGTCACCCTGTCCCCACCACCAGCGGGGAAGGGCATGGAGTGACATGACCTCTGTGCAACCGGCCTCTGGGTTTTGTGGCTCTGGGATGCCGTGAAACAGCCGTGGTGCCTCTGCATGGAGCTGCCCAAGGGGAAGGTTCTTCCTCTGTTAGTTTATCCCAACACTTGTTGGACCCAACCACATTCCTCGTGTGATGGCTTCAGGGAATAACATCCCTTTGGGTGGGTTTTGACTCCGCTTGTGTCCCCTGTCCCCTTCGTCCCCATCCCCACGCACCTGCCTGG